CCCCAAGACGACCACTGCTCCTGATGAATGAAAACTTGAAATTTGAAAATGAAAACTTGAAAATAACGAAAGCCAGAAAAAGTGGAAATTGCGAAATTCGAAAAATTGGGAAAGCCAGGACAGATTGTAAAATAAAACACGCATCGGGCATTTGGATACCACTCCCGAAAACGCCGCGGCACACACGACTAGAGAAATAGATCGTCTTACCATGGCCTATAGCAAGGCCAACAACTCTGGTGCGTCAACAGTTCCCACATACGCGACCACAATATTTGGAACGTCACCATAGATAAACGTAAACGGCTTCCACGAATTCTCAGCGTCTTCGAGCCCACGCCAGGCCACCAAGAGCTGCCACTCCTTAGCAGTTTCTTCGTAGCGATGGCCCACAAGAGCACGAACGCCCAGCACAATGCCTTGAGTGGCGTCGTGCTCACGAATCTCGGCAGTGCTACCGAGGTCGGCATCGCAGTAATGTTTAAGCCTTGACCCGTGTACCTCGTACTCGTCCCCCGTAAGCAGATGGGCCATCACGAACGAGTGTGAGAGGGCACTGGTCGCACAGAAGGGCCCTACCCTACGCACCAGCAATTTTGCACCACGCAAGCGTGAATCGAAACGTGACCAAAGAACGTAGTCGCCTTCAGCAAAGTTGAAACCCTTTCCACGCCCACGTTCGACTTCATAAGCGCGACGCTGTTCCTTGCGACGAACCACTTCCCGGTGAAGCGCTACCAGGTGTTCTCGGAGTGCGTCAAGCTGAGGCGCCGCAGCCTCCAAATTGACTGTGCGGAGGCGAGAAGCAAGTTGGCGACACAAACAGTGTTGAGTAGCGACGGGGCCGGCAGGCCCGTGAACAGCTCAATGGGATTGTGTCCATCAAAGGAAACCACTGCCGGGTGATTGAGATTTGCTTGAATCACTAGCAAGAGGTAGAACCAGTTGCGGGTATCTAGGTTAAGCTCAAGCAGCAAAACACTTAGAGCTAGCAAAATGTCTCTATTGACTCTCTCAAATGTGCCATTGATCCACGGAGTGTAAACGGGCACAAACTTATGCGTTGCTTTCATACGTGTCGCCAGTTCAGCCACTATTGTATCCTTGAAGTGCGTGCCGTTGTCGGAGATCCAATATTCAGGAAGCCCAAAGCCCTTGTACTAGTTCAGGACGGCAGTAGCACTAGTAGGCGAGTCAGCAGCTACGAGCTCGCAGTAATGAGTGAGATCGTCCTTGAGCACTAGCACGTATTGCCTCTCTCCGTAGGATTCACCCACGTATAAGTAGTCCAGATGCATGCATTCATTACGCTTTGTTGCGGTAGAAGTATGGCCCCACGCCCGCATCACGATCTTGCCTCCCTTGACATGTTTACACAGGAAACAATCACGCAGGAACCGAGCTACCAACGACTTCACGTTGTTAATTGCAAACCGTTCACCCAACGCAGCCAGCATGACATCGCCGCCGCGGTGTCCTTGGGGTCCGCAATGTGCTACAAATCAAGAGCCTTTGTATAAGCTCCTTCGCCTGCCGTGGGGTCCACAGCTTGCCATGAAGCCAGACAAGTTCGACCTCGCCGGCTACACACAGAGCATCCGAGCGGAATCGGCGCTGTTCAGCACCGACCGCCTCCATGGAGGGTCAAAGGAAATTGACGTCCTGCAGCGGACGCAGCGTCGACACAGGACGCTCACTGCGTGTTATCACGCGTCTCACATGAGCCAGATTCTCCACTGCTGCTGATGTCAGTGGTAAGAGGTGGTATGCTCCAGATAGATCCATTCGCGAAAAAAACGGAGGACGTATCAACCTCTTCGTCCCCGGTGTTGCCGGCCAAACCTTTATCCTCGACGTCCCCGCGTGAATCACTAACCACACCCTTTACCGCCAAGCCTTCACTTGGCTTTACCGACCCTGTCTGCCCCCATCAAGACACTAGATCCTCCCATACGTTGTCCTAGCCCTGAATGTGCTCCATAGTATAGCGAACCCTCACAATTTGCAGGGCCCGCCGTTGCAGCTTACCGCGGAGGTGCGTTTTGATCGTCTTATCAGGCGCAAGATGTGGATGAGGTTTGCGTGGTCGCAGAAGATGCGAACTCCCTTCTCGCGCTCCAGCAAATAGGCCAGATCGCTACACGCTCACACGACTGGGTAGGCCTCTTTCTCGACAATGGACCAGTTTCCTGAGAACCCAGAAAACATGCCCCCACGACACACCAAACGTTCATGGGCTTGATCCTCGACCGGCAAACCGTCGACTCAAAGCCGCACTTGGCTAAGGACCACAGCCCAACCCGAGATCGACGCGTCACTAAATATGCAGACGGTAGCGTCTGCATCGGCGAAGTACTGCTTCGACGACGTTGTCTATAAACTCACTACGGTCCGATATGCTGCTACAACCTCCGGTGTCCAATCGAGGTCGACGCCCGCAAGCTGAGTTTTGCGCCGACCGCGACGTGACATTACAGCCTCCAACTTAGAATGCAGGGGCGCATCCACACGCGCGAAGTCAACCATTGAATCACGCAGCCAGTTGGCTGCACAAAGGAATTGCTGCGGCGCAGCAGGAGTAGGCGGTAGCTGCACGTCTGTCAAGGCCTGCAGTCGGTCGGGTGAATGCTGTATTTCTTCACCGTTAATCACTTTCCCACATCACACAACCTTCGTCTCGAAAAGCACGCACTTCTTCGCGTTGAATCTGAGGCGCCTAGCCCGGACAGTCTCGAAGAAGATCCTTAGGTTGGTATGGTATTCGCGCGCATATTTCGCAAACAATAATAAGTCGTCGATCCACACAAGCAGATTATGGTACAACATCTCCCGGAAGCACTGTTGCATCTGCAGCTGAAAGTACATGGCAGAGTCGGAGGCACCTTGCGGTACACGTGTGGGTGTGAAGACACCATTTCCCGTGACGAAACGGAACAGCTCCTGACTCTCTGGGTGCAGCGGTAGCTGCCAAAAGCATTTCAAGAGGTCGGACAACCCAAATCCGTAAGCACCAACACTCTGAGTCGCCGAAAGCGAATTCGGAGTGGCTCCAGCCTGTGGCACTGTCCATTTGTTCGTGGGTCTATAGTCCACAGTGCAGCGAAAGTCCTCACGGTGCGGTTTCCTAACTAGAAGCGCCGGGCAAGCCCAATGGCTGGCGCTGTTACGACGGACTAGTCCATTCCGCTCCAATTCCAGCACAAAATCATGCAGGAACGCTCGCTGTTGTGGTGGATACTTCATCGTTCCAATTCGGTATGGTTGGACTCCGTCACGGAGCTTCTCCTGCAGCGGTTCAACGTTGGCCGGCGGGTCCGCTCCAATATGTACCCTCCAGACATCGCCGAACTCGAACACGATTCCGCGTAACTCGCTTAGCAAGGCAGGGTCGAAACCTGCTGCCGCTGCTGCGGCTACCATCTTCTCCAGACAGCCCTTAATTTCTTCCATATCCACCGTAAATGCTAACTGCGGGCTGGTTCTAGTAAAATCATCATCACCCGCGTCATGTACTTGACCGCCTGAAGCAAGCTGTTCAAAGAGACGATCAATATCAATACCAACATCCTGCATAGTTTGGCATCCAAGTAGAAACTCGTCCTCGTGGCCATCCATTACGAGACCCGACACAATGGCAAGATGCAATGGCCCAGCAGCCGTCTCAATGCGTAGGTCGAACTCCACAGCTGCCCGGCATAGCACACGAGATCCTCCCGCAACCTGCACTGGCACGGCAAGATCTAACGTCTCCAATTCCTGCAGCTTCTTGTCCAGAGCTTCCGAGATAATGTTGCTGTCTGCCCCCGTGTCTCGGCAGAACGGCACATCAAGGACGCCGTTGACGCACACGCGGCGATCCTCACCAGCAGGCACGACCCGTACGGCCTTAAAGCGCTCAGCCTTCCTGGCCTTCATGGCCTGCTGCACTTCCTGCTTCAGTTCAACTGAGGCAGTCGGGCAGTCTCTCGCCCAGTGCTGCCCCTTGCAGAAAAGGTATCCTGTCCGCGGCGGAGCCGGAGCTGCTTTCGGCCCTTTCGGCTGCTCAGACTTCGCTTCTGCGCTCAGCTTCGGACGTGTACCATTCGATGTACCACGAGATGGCTTGTTTTGTACCGCCGGTTTAGCCTTCGAAGCGTCGCCGCGCTTCAACTCAGATCGCATGGTATGATAATGCTGCTGGCTCTTCGCCCTAGTAACGACCAACTCATAGAGCGCAACATCATCATGTTTTGCCTGCTGATGTGTGACAGCGACGAGTCGCTCGATATCTACACGCAGCACGACCGGAAACAAGTTCTTCACTAGCAACTTGCAGCGGGTCTTCATGCGCTGCCGCCCTGTTGCGTCAGTCGCAGCTTCTCGACCCACCCAATTGTTTAACCCATGTTAGTCCACAATGCGGTCGAAATCCATGAAGTATTTAGCTATGCGGGCTCCAATGCCCACAACCTTCATGTCTATCTTCAGGTTGTCGTCCAAGCGTTTGGCTACGTCGGGGACGTGGTCGTTCATCAAGCTGCCTGCTCGGCACTTGATCTCGTCCTGCAGGCGCGCTCCCGTCACCCCCTCCAAGGTGGTGCGGAACTCGTAGTGCGCCAAGTGTTTCAGAATTCTTGGCTCGGTAGAGCTCTAAATGCTGACGACCATGTTATCGTGTGATTCGCCTGTCGCCAGGCACCGTTCTTAGATTAGTTCCTCATACTATCGATGATTGTTCATGAACTTGACCAAGGCTGGCTGTCCAAGGGCGGTCAGCCTCGGGGGCTTGATGTATTTGAATACAGGCTGGGCGTTATTCATCTCCGCGTCGCTATCTTGATCCACCAAATTGTCGTGCGGCATTGTCGATTCTCGTAAGCCAACGTATACTTTATGGCAAGTTGAGCTCAGAAGGTAAAATGCGAAGTGCGATTTAGCGTTAGAGTCCTTCAGACATGCCCTACCGACAAACCCCCATGGCTAGTAGCTCCTGCACTTGATTCTCCACTCTGTGTGCCCAATCGCCGCCGCAATTGTATGCCTTCGTCCACTCCAGTCTGACGCCGCGTGCCTCACTTAGTCGGTGCTTGCCCTGCTTCGTCCTCAGCACACGCCACTCCATGCCATTCGCTGGGTGCTCCTGCCGTCGGAGACCAGCGCTGAGATTGGGGGCTTGTGTGCAGAGACTGGCAATTCAAGATCCTGCAGAGATCGGCGACGGCAGCAGACCTCGCTAGCAGTGTCGTCTGAAGACAGCACCCTGGTGGTGCTCAACAATGAAAGATGAGCTGCAGCCAGCACGTCTCCGTCTCACCTATATCCATATTAACGTCACTGATACACGAACAAGCACAGAAACATGATGTAAATGATTGGAATGTTAAGGTGAGGAAGAAGTTAAAGAACGTAGATGTAGAGTATTATCTGCTTTTCATATATAGGCTATTCATTTTATAGAGTCGTTTCTTCAAGTAAGTTATTGGCGTAGATAGCCGCCCAGATTAAGTGCCAACGGCATCAACCACTCAAACCCAAAGGTTGTTTATTGGTTTACACAATTGAAGCTAGAATTTTCGTGTTTACGGTTTCTCCTTTCATATGCTGTGCTTCATTTTTTAATCAATCGCTTACTTTTTTTGCAATGCTTATTTTTTGGTATCGCTTTTATAACTGTCACTGTAGTTGATAGCCATGCAAGAGCACAGATTTTCTAAATTCCCAGGCCAGCTTTTAACTTCTAACCTATCCAGTACACAACACGTTTTCGTCCAGGTGTAAAAACTTTAATCCCAACACATAATTTGGCGTTTCAATATGGACCCCTGGGCTTGTCAAATCCGTCGGATTTGGGAATAGCATGGTCTTGTGGGTGTACTAAATCACCGGTCGTTTGTACTGCGTGGCTAATATTTTTTGTTTTTGTTTTAACCCTGTAGTAATAGTCAGTGCTGGAACAAATCCAAAGCGATTTTATGTTGAAGGCACATATCAGGAAGGAAACTTGCTCGCGCTGGCGCTTTGGCGGGAACACCTGCCCAACTTCGAGAAGTGCCTTGGCGTGGCCAAGAAGATTGTCGTCGGGAAGAAGCTGTCATCCAAGAACGATGGCTTCCGGGATATTGCCGCAGCGGAAAAGAAAGTAGCAAGCGACGATTTCATCTAGAAATTCTCAGCAAATGAAAGATCAATTCCAGACTTATCGAGCTTGCTATAACGGATAGAGGCGCGATAGGCATTTAGTGACGACGAGTAAAGCATTGGACTCCTGTGTGTGTGTGTGTGTGTGTGTGTGTGTGTGTGTGTGTGTGTGTGTGTGTGTGTGTGTGTGTGTGTGTGTGTGTG